TGAACATAATGAAATTAACAAATTTGTCAGAACAAAAGTAAATTTAACAACAAGAGCAGAGGATTTTAGCATCTTATTGACAAATATTGTATAATCAAGTATTGAAAAAAAAATTGCATATCCGCACCAATACAAGTTTTATTAGTCAACTATCCATGATTCTATTTTTAAAGAAAGTCGCATATCTGCATTAATACAAGTTTCATGAGTCAACTATTGTATATTATCCGAACCTTGCATAACATGAATACATCCATTCTATCGCAAAATCCAAGAACTCATATAATTTCAATTTATTATATTAATTATAATACCAAGCTTACACAACATGGACACATATTGCAAAACGTGAGACTTAGTGAATATCGGATCAAGTTCAACTTGACAATATTTCAATCAGTTCGGAATTTGATGTTCTTTGGACTTAAAGACTTACATGAAAGAACAGAAAAACCTTGCATGTGACCTTAGAAGAAAATTTAAAGATCTGTTAACTTAATATTTGACAGCAAAGTGTTGCGGACACTCCAAACACACGTACAAAAATCATGCTTAACTACGACAACACAATTAAATGAAAACACGTGCAAAAGTTTAATATTAAAAGCAATTTGAAAGCAGTGTCACCCATAAACTGTCAAAACACAAACCTTAGTTTGAATCCCATTGAACTCGGATAACCAAATAACTCTATATTAATGCAGGAGTGGGCTATTCGAACTTAAATGATGTCTCAAAGTCGTTTTAATTCGGGATGCTATAGGCGCTTCTCTCGTCGGGAACTCCGGGTTCGTGCACATGACATACATTTCGGTGTTCGCTGAGACGGCGCAGCAGCTGAACTTCGGATCGCCACTTGGCGTGTTGAATGGCCGCAACGGCGAGGTTGTTCCCCGAAGTCGATAGATAGTCTTTGACGGCATACTGAATGGCCGCAATGGCGGGAGAGCACTCCATGGTCGATGGATAGCCTTAGTCGTTCCACATTTTTCGACTCTGCCACTGTCGCAAGTTCGTGGATGTGTCGAGACCGATGTTGACAGCTTTTTTATTCCGTTTTCGTCCGATGTTGACAGCTTTTTGATTTCGTTGTGCGTTCAACAATGACGCAAAGGGAGGGTATGCAGATGTGCATCGGGGTTGACAACTTTTTGATTTCCTAGAATTCGCATTGCGATTGCTGTTCTCCATGTGTTATTTTGATAACAATACGCGGTATCTGTTAGTTGTTTTCATCATGTGTTCAGTGGCGAAAAGTATACACGTGTGACGTTGTTGTCCTCATATTATTTTTCAATTCATTGAAACCCGGGAGTGATGACACGTGTTTACGGTTTGGCTTTGGACACCGATACATCGCTGCCATCCCGAGTGTTTGATTGTTGTTCTCATGTTGTGTTTCCTTTCGGAAAAAAAAACTCGTTGTTCTAATGTTTTGCGTGCACAAGCATTCTGCAGTCATTGTATCTCCGTATTAACCAGTGTCTGCGATCTGTTGTTTTCTGTTCTCGTGATCAAGTGCCCCTTCAGGCACCGTCCGCCGACCATTGTGTCGAACACGACAAATATCGCACGACAGACCACAGTGTCGCTGTCATGTTCGACACGATGGTCGCCAGACGGTGCCTGAAGGGGCACTTGGTCGACTGTCGCACGACAAACTACAGTGTCGTTGTCGTGTCGAACACGACGGTCAGCTCCCCTTCAGGCACCGTCTGGCGACCATCGTGTCGAACACTACATGGACACTGTGGTCTGGCAACCAGACGGTGCCTAAAGGGGCGCTTGGTCGACTGTCGCACAGCAGACAACAGTGTAGCTGTCGTGTTGAACACGACGGTCGGACAGCCCGCGTAGTGCCGAACTCGACGTCAAGCAGGACAACGAGTTGGTCGGCCGTCGGGTTCGATACAACAGTGACACGACGACACCGCAATGTCGCTGTCGTGTCGAATTCGACGGTACTAGAGGACGTCGTGGCACGGTCGTCGAGTTCGACACGACAGTGAAACGACGACAAGCTGGCGGGCTGCGGCCCGCTTCCGTTGCTCTGTGTTTTTGTCTATTCTTGTTCTCGAATGCTATGGTGTTTGCACTTCGGCGAAGCAATGACTGCTTTCTCGCTTGTGCGTTTTCTTCAGTTGCGACTAGCTGCTCGACATGGATTGCGAGGGGAAGCCAAGCAAACGACGTACTAGTACTGGTTCCGGGAGCATGGAGCAATCTCCGAAAAAAACGAAGGGGACACCGACGACTGGCGTGGGGGCTGGCGACACACCAGGGTCTAAGGGCCACCGAACCCCGGTGCTGCGGGGTGCACCTTCTACGGGCACACCTTCCGGCCATGTTCGAGGTTCGGGACCGGATTCGGCTGTGTTGATGAGTGGTGGGGCTGCGGGTCGAGAAGAGGAGGCTACTGGTCGGCAGGGGAAATCAGCGATGGACGTTGCGCCCAGGCGTAAAAGGTCTGGTGACACGTCCGTTGCAGGTATGGGAGACGAGGTGCCTGTCGTAGACCACAAAGACAAGTGGTGGATGTTGAACTGGGTTGGAGGAATCGGGGAACCCTCGGGTGGGCTGGTTTTGTACGTGGTGATCAAAGATAACATTGTTCCGATTGGCGGTGTGGTGAAGTGGAGTGGAGGAAATTCACAGTTCGCCATGTTGGAGTTGACGATGGTCCTTAACGCTAGAGGTGAGCAGATGGCGAATGTCAAACGCGTTGCTCTTCGTTGGGCCAAACACGCTGGGTACGACAAGAAGCTTTATGACATTTTAAATCCGCCCGGGACGGAGAAATTGACGTTGTCGGACCTTCGAGCGGTTTTCACATTCTTCGACAGACATGTGGTCGCAGGGCATGAGCCGGTGGTGCATGCTTCCGACCGCATATCTGAACCGAAAAGCGTGCTTTCGTCATCTTTGGAGGCGGCTCCGTCGTCGAAACCAATCATTATAGGTGCCCGCCCTCCGCCATCACTTCGGACTACGGTTGCTGCAACACGAGTTTCGAAATCTGGGCAGATCGGGGAGAAAGGTCCGTGTCGCGGCCAAATCGTGCCGTCAGCCCCTGTGAAGCGTAGACCAACATCAACCAAGGAACCCGTTTCCTTGGTCCGCCCGCCACACCATGAGTTGGCCATTCCTGCTGGGCCTCATTATTTTGGAGATGACGACGAGGAGAACAACGAGGAAGATTGGGAGCGCGATGAAGAACGCAAAGAATATGAGGAGGGTGGCAAAGAAGAGGAAGTAGAGAGTGAGCACACAATCAGCGAGAGGGGTGGGCGGGGCGAATTGGAGGGTCGTCTAGGGGTCGAGTATGAGGACAAAGGTCAAGAAGAGGAAACGACCGGCGAGGGAGGGTATGCAGATGTGCATCGGGGTTCCAAACGAACGCAGCTGCTCGCGCCGGGTCATGGGCATTGGGAAGCGGATCCAGGGCGCGGGGAAATGCACCCCGAGGTTGGGGTCGAGCCGGCGCATGCCGATGCAGTCCGACTAGCTGAGAAAAAAAGGAAGATCAGGCAAGAGAGGAGAAGTGCTTTGGACAGTAAGAAAACCAAGCAGGAGGGGGGAGCCAAGCAAGAGGAGGGCAAACGCAAGTTGAAAATGTTGCCAATTGAGGAGGTCGTCCACCGTACGCGGGAGGCTGAGAAGGCCAAGAAGAAAAAAGGGCAGCCAAGGAAAAAAACAGCGAAGGGAGGTGTGATGGAAAAAACTTTCATTTTTCCACCGGACCAGCCACAGTCGGATGAAGACGTTGTGGGCAAGATAGTCACCAGACCGCCCGGTTTGCAGATTCTGCCGCCTGGAAATTCTTCTGGTCATCTGAGCAAAGGCTTCTTCCTTGAGCTTAACGAGAATGGTAACCAGAGGCCGGAAATGCAGTTCATTTCTATCAAGTTGGACAGGATTCTGGATATCCCTGACGAGGAATTCAGATATAATCAACGCTTCCTCGGTCAGGAGCTTATTGATGACCTTTACAAAACAATGGTTGAATCGGGTGAGGCAGCTATTAGAGAGAGAACGATCGGGGCAGCCGGGGTGAATGTATGTGCATTGTACGAGAAGCCTGTCCTTTTGTTGATTGGGCTACATGATACAATGCATACTGACGCTTCTGACACAAATGTGAGGGCGAGAAGAGTGACGCCCGACGAATTCGATCTTCAATCCGTGAGCAAGTACTACTGGTACCCTCTCAGTGGTCAACACAATGTTGCGGCGGCGAGGAAATGTTCTCAAGAACGCCGTGCCATCACCCGTGAGCTCCGTTTGGATTGCTGGACTGCAAGGCCTGTTTACTATCTGGATAGGAGCATGGATAACTACTGCACCTTGAGCACTTTCCAAAATGCGAAGGACAAATGGAATACTCCTTCGCACCAGATTGCTATCATTAAGAACATACGAAAGTTGTGGCATGCAGCCGGTCGTCCAGAAGCTATAGACGGATCTGCTGAAGACGTCAAAAATAAGGATTACAGAGAGTTTGCGGCGATGGCTCTGCGCACGACCGGGAGTGATCATTTGGTTACTCTTTCACTTCAGACTTGGACCAAGGAGTGGTCCGACTTCCTCGGGCCTTACATGGTATTGGCAAGGGCGACGGACAATGTGTTCGACAAGGTGCAACAAGTGTATTCTGCTTGGGAGAGTGGACAGTTATCGGGGAGAGATGGTGTGAAGCCTGCCACCAAACAAGGTGAATCGGGGAAAGCGCCGAGACCTGGCGCCGGATTCGAGTTGGAAAAAGGAGTCAAGCTTCCTGTGCACTGGATTCAGGGTACTAGAGGACCTGGTTACCTCATGGCTGTGCGCGATCCGGATGTCAGATCATGGAAGGCTATGTCTACGTTGGGGAGACGTGAGAGGCTTCAACTGTTGCGATACATTATCGCGGGAAGTGTCATACTGGTTCCAAGGCTAAGTAAAGTTGCTCACACTGCCGGGAAACATTCGATGGAGACATACGTGAAAATTGTGAAGCAGGAAAGAGCAATGTTGAGAATGTTTCACTACTTCGTCTTCATTTCTGACCCTCACAAGAAGCCGTCAGAGTAGAAGGAACCATTCTTCGACAACCTTTCTGATTTGTTCGCTAAGTATTGTAATCAAGGATTGACATCGGAGAGGTGGATCGACCAGCGACGGCATTTCAAAGAAACATTTCAAAGAAATGAGTTGGGTGCGGTCATTTCCGGCTACACTTGGAGGCGAGGAGGAGAAAGGAGAGGAGGGCTTCAAGAAAACAAAATCGTTTGCAAACAAATGCCCTGAAGAGTTCATTCAATTTGTAAACAAATTGTTGTGTAGATTCGAAATTGGGGGTTCGCATAACATTCGTATGTCGGGACAAGCGATATATATATATTTCCAGAAACAGGATGTGTCATCTGTATTCGTGTCGTTCCAGTGGGAACTGAGCGATGTTTCAGACAAGATGGATTGCAAGGAGATGTATAGAGTCGTTAGACACCTGACGTGCCACACAGCCGTTCTGGATTTGTGTCGCCCGACCCAAATGGGTGCGTGGACTGAACAAGTGTTTGATGGACTCTGGAAGTTCATGGGAAAACTTGGCGGCGAGTATTGGACATTGTTGTGCTTCGTTCCACGCTCTTGCGAATTCACATTCTTGAGGCGAGTCGCGATGTGGGACATTCACTTGGATCTTCTCAAATGGACTCGTCTACAACAAACAAAGGGGAAAGTGACATATAAGGTTGCAAACTTGCCTTTGGAGGACACAGACAGAATGGTGGTCATCATGTACTCCAACGACGGGGATTTTCATCGCAACGCTATTCCCTTGTTTGAAGATATTTAAGTTGCAGGTCCATCATCTGCCGAGCAGGTGGCTGACATATCGGCACTTGTGCGGAGAGAGAGAAAGCCGAAGATGTTGACTGATGTCATGGAGAAGAACTTTCTACCATTAAAGTGGAAAATGGCAGGTATGGATCCACCGGAGAAAGTTGTCTATGATGGTATGGAAAGGGAGCCGAATGCGATGGTGGAGACATTGGAGCATTTTTGTCCTGCGGATGAGGCTGTCGTTTTCCTGGGGAAAGGTCATGCGGGATTGGTTTGGGAGTTGTTAAAGAGTCACCGTCATTGCGTTGTGCTAGAAGGGGAGGGTATGAAGTTCGAGTTCCTCACTCAGTTCATTGAGAAAATGGTCAAAACTCGAGATTACTTCGCCAAATTTATTAAAGCCGCCTCCTCGACATGATGAAGGGCGTGATCTCGTCTACAAGGTTGGTCAAAACATGGTGAATAATTGGGAGTTTCTCTTCGAAACAAAGCTGCAACACAGAGGGCAACGTACTTATGTCCTCAGAAGAATAAAAGTGGAGACGTTTTTGAGGGGTTATCATCGGAGAGGGAGGTTTCATTTCTCGACCGATTGGAGACAATGTATTTTGACCAACAAATCGGGGCGTTTACAATCACAGGTTATGCGACTTGTTTTGTGGATGGTGAGGACCTTGATGCCGACGACTCAGAAGAAGAGAGTGTTGATGACACTTTGCAAGCGGCTTTGGCAGCTGAGAGGCAAAGAGTTTGTAGCCCAGCTTCGCAGAGAATGGGTGTTCTAGGCACATCGTCCGGTTCTGGAGGAGCTTCGAGCATGGCGGTTTCAACGGATCAATTAAGGACTCGGCCGCCGACTTCTTCTATTGTTACACCGACTCAGATGGCGGGCAATATGATGACGGTGGCATCCGGAGGCAGTCTGGATCCGAAGCTTCTAGCAATGCTCTCCCCAGAGTTGATGGCAACTCTGGCACCATTTGCACACAGCCCAAGTACTGTTATGGAATTGCTACGCTCTCGAACTCCACAACCACCTCCATCTGATGAGCCTTTGGAGTACGAGATTGGAGACACAATCCCTGCATACATTCGACTGCTTCCGGGGCCTATAGTGTGCCGAGACGATTATACGGTGACAGATGATGCCACATGGGGTCATCACATTATATGGCACCCCCAACACTTCCAACCTGCATTGGCGAGAGGGAGGTGGGTTATGGCTATAAAAGAAGAAGGGGAGTGGCAGTTTTGCCGCCACAGACGTATGTCAGGATCGAACTTTCTGAAACATGTCAAAAATCAGATTGCCAAGCGACTCCTGCGACTTAATCTGGAGGTTTCTCAATCAAGAGTAGATGTAAGAACAGGAGAAATTTTCCAAGAGTTCAAAACATCGCAGTGGCTTGAGTATCTGGAAGAGTTCTATGATAGACAAACCAGCCCGGCTTATGGATATTATTGGCATGTTAAAGAAGATCTTGGGGAGAGGAAAAGTTCAAGCGGCGGTGGTGAGCATGGCAAGGGATCCGGATCGAGCGGAGGTGCGCATGGCAAAGGATTGCGATCGGGGAACGGTGCAAGTGACAAGGGTCCGGAACCAAGCGACGGTGCAAGCGGCAAGGACGCAAGTCGTGGGGAACAATAAAAAACCGAAAAGTCTGAGGAGCGGCGTCAAGCAACAGAAGGCAAGGGATCAACACCAAGCGGCGGTGGGCATGGCAAACCTACAGGACCAAGCGGCAGTGGTTCAACTGTCGAAGGGTCTCGAGGGCCTCAAGAAACAGAGCGCAAGGGATCAGGATCGAGCGGTGCTTCAACTATTGAAGGGTCCCACGGTCGAGTCGAACACGACAGTGGCCTCGCATTGGAGCGTTCCCGGCTTGACCAATCGAAGAAACTCACGGTCGAGTCGAACCCGACAGTGGGATCGGGAACGATCGCCGGTGCAAATAGCAAGGCTTCGGGACGAAGGGGGGGCAGTACAATTGTCGGCGGTGCTTCACCTGTCAAAGGGTCACACGGTCGTGTCGAACACGACACTCGTCCAGCATTCGAGCACTCGCGGCTTGACCAAGCGAAGAAACTCACTGTCGAGTCGAACCCGACAGTGGGATCAGGATCAATCGTCTGTACAAGTGGCAAGGCTTTGGGACCAATCGACATTGTTTCACCTGTCGAAGAGTCACACGACGGTCGAGTCGAATACGACAGGGGTCCACTATTGGAGCGCTCCCAGCTTGACCGAGCGGAGAAACTCGTGGTTGAGTCAAACCCGACACAGCAATGAGGATCGATTGTCGGTGCGAGTGTCAAAACTTCGGGACGAGAAGGCGGTGTGAGTTGCGAGGGCGTGAGTACAGTTGACCAAGTTTGGGCGACTATGATACTAGTGGGCGACAGTGTCGCTATGGAAGTGGATATTACTGGTACACTCACGAAATTACAGATGCCGTCGTCGACGATGCTAGCCGAAGTAAGCGGCACTTTCTATGACACTTTTGAGAGCGTAAAGGAGGAAGAAACACTCCATGTACAGGGCATCGAAGAGGATGAAGGACATATAGTACTACGTACACCGGAGCAAGGTGTACTTGTACAACCTCAACAAACGCTTGAACAACCTCAAACACCACAGTCTGCTAACCTCATGATAGCTATCGAGGAATTTCCTATTGCGCCATTGCATCTGGAAGGTGTGACATAAGGTCGTGTTGAAGAAAAACTGAGAGTTAGCCATCGAGGTGAGCACTTTCTTATCTTAGGAGGAATATCTAATACTATATGCGGATTAGTGGGTACATCACATGCACTCATCTCCCGTTGTGTCGATCCCTCAGATGTATTTTTTATTTACCTAGCTTTGGAACTGTGCATTTTCTGAAGAGAAATACTGTAATTGTTTTGTATGAAGACTTAGTGCAATTGCCATATATTTTGTATTGGTATTCATGAGTCAGATTCAACAACGGAAAGTCGGACTTGTAACCTAGGCTACCAGAGTGGCCCGGGGTCACTTGCCCGGCCGGGCCAAAAAAAAATAAAAAAATAAAAATAAAAACATTATTTTTATAATTTATTTGTTTTTCTAAATTTGATGCAGAATTTCGATGTGACCTTGAGCCAAAAGTTGTTCAGTTTATTTTTCTGCATAACATAGTTTTTCTCCGGATTTTTTTGATTTTTTTTTTTTTTGCTGGGACCTTCCTTGGTCCTTGCATGGACTTACCACCGGGACCCGGGCAGCCCAGCTGGTAGCCTAGCTTGTAACTCGTTATGTTTTATCTTGTCAATCATGCAGAGCAACGAAAATAATTGTGGAAAACGACACATGTACACTCGCAAAGGAAGAGATAGAATTATATAATTCGTCGTGGCTTGCAAGTTTTGTCAACTTTGTCGTTATTGCCAAAAAATGAGAGAAGAAGTACACCCATGACATTTCCATCTGTGAAGCCAGCTGCCTTAAGGATGTTTAAAGCTGTTGGAATAAGCCTCACAGAAGGGAAGAAATTGCATCGCGCAGGTTGCATTTTATCTGTTATGGATAGCTGCACTGATGACGAAACAGATAGACAACCAACAACATGAGCTCATATTTATGTAGTCTATCACTTGTTTTTGTGTGAAGTCTTAGTCGCTCTATTGTTGTTTATATGTGTATTTGTATGCAGTGCATGACCTTTCGTTCCAGATTCCCTTAGCAACAGTACGCCTTACTGTAGAAGAAAATGAGTATCTTGAAATGATTACCGACAGCACTGAAGAGAATGAAGAATACGGCATTGTCGATTACAAGGGGAGGTGGAAAGTGGAAAAGAAAGACGTCATGGTCGCCGCCGAGGATGGGGAATGGTTAAATGATGAAGTCGTCAATTTGTGCCTGCTAGCCGTTTAGATCACCAATGTGTCAAGGTGTCGCATTTTTGGCGGTGGGCTTCCGCGTCTGTGTCAAGGTGTCGCATTTTTGGCGGCGGGCGACCAGGACACAAAGTGGGTTCTTAGGGGGCAAAAAAATTTGGGGGACCGGTCCTTGCCAAAATTGCGGACTACCTACAGCTAGCTCCGGTAGAACCGGGACTTTTGGAAAAACGAAGGACCGGTCCTCGGGTAGAAGTGGACCCCAAAAAGAAGTRRGGGGCATTGGACCGGTCCTCGGGTAGAAGCGGACCCCCAAAAGAAGTAAGGGCATGTGAACTGCAAAAGGGCCCCCAGGCCCAGGCGTTGAGCCCCGTTTTCTCAAAACAGGGAGGTCAGGCACAACGAAACATGCATTTTGCAAGAGACAACTTTGGCGATTTTCTATGCTCATACGAAAATGCACAAAAATCTGGAATTTTGAGAATCTATAGATGAGGTCGTGTTCTTTCCATAAATAATAATAGAACATTTACAAAAAATTATTTAGACTGCGAAATAATCGTCGCGCCGATTCAGCACATTTTCCATTTTTGCCACTCAACCATGCTTGGGCCAACTAAGAAAGTACTCCAAATTCAGTGAGTTTTCGCGCTCAGAAGAATGCGTGAAAAAACCTGAAAATTGGAGTACTCATAGATTTTGTTGTGATCTTTCCAGGAAAAACGCTACATAAATTTAAAAAAATCATTCCAACTGCGAAATAGATTGCGGCCGTAATTTGACCCATATTTCAATTTTGCCATTCAGTCTCTCTCTCTCTCTCTCTCTCTCTCTCTCTCTCTCTCTCTCTCTCTTTCTCTCTCTCTCTCTCTCT